CCGCAGGATCGATGTCGCAATTGTGACGCGTCCTTAGCTGCTGGGTGATGATGATCTTACTGTAACAGGGTGTACAAAAATACATCCACTCCAGCTGTCATGGATATGTCCAAACTCTAGGAACAAAAAGGTTAAAGGTCATAGCACCCTGCTGCTACCCAATCACATGCAGCCATCTGTCACACCAGGAACCAGGGAGAGTTGTTTCTGTGGCTGCCAAGCCAACCAGTCACATCCAAGCAACCAGGCAGCTGAGTTCCGTTGACATGCCGCAAAAGCAAGCAAGCAGATAGAAAGACAGTGCCAAAAGGGTTTAAAATCGCCATTTTGACTGAGACAAGCAGCAAGCAGCAAGCAGCAATCAGGAGCAGCAATGACAAGCACTCACCTGCCAGACCAGGCAGCTGAGGAGCCAAAAGGCATGCAGTTGCCGCAAAAGCAAGCAGTCACAGAGAAGGAGGGGAATGAGAAGTGAATAAATGGAGGGGAATGAGGATGGGGTGGGTGGGGGGTACAGACCGGAAAGTTGAGGAGTCAAAAGACATGGACTGCAGGCAAACAGACATATAGGGGAACGGGGGGAGGGGGGGGGGGGAAGGATGATGAGTGAATGGGCGGGGACAGATGAAGGGTGAGTGGGGGCAAGCTGAGGGGAGAGCAAAGGGGGATGTTGGGAGGTTAGGTTGTAGAGAGGGGGAAGGGGAGTGAGGGAGATGAGGGGTGATGGGGTTGCGGTGGTATGGGAGGGGAGGGAGATGAGGGGCGGATCGGGAGGGAGAGGAGGCGTGAGGGGGGGGGGGGAGGGAAACTGAGGTATGGTGGGGGGAGGGGAACACGGGTAAGTCGGAAATGCGGGAAGAGGGGAGGTGGGGGAGAGATGGGGAACGAGGGGGGAGTGGAAGGGAGATGAGGGTGGGCGTGAAGGAAGAGAGCAAGAGAGCGCGGCGGTGATATGAAGGGGGGCTGGGGGGATGAAGGGAGAGAGGGGGGCATGAGGGGAGGGCGGGAAAGATGCGGGGAGAGCGGAGAAGATGCGGGGAGAACGGAAAAGATGCGGGGAGAACGGAGAAGATGCGGGGAGAACGGAGAAGATGCGGGGAGAGCGGAGAAGATGCGGGGAGAACGGAGAAGATGCGGGGAGAACGGAAAAGATGCGGGGAGAGCAGGGACGATGAGGAGAGAGCTGGGAAGCAGAGAGACGAATTATGTTTTTAGGCTGCGTCATGGGGTGAAAAGGGAGAGAAGGGGAAGCGGGGAAATGGGGAGGGAAAAGGGGAAAAATAGGAAAAAAAAATGGCGGGTTCCCGTGTTACCTTTCGCGGATCCTCTCCGTCCTCAAAAAGAGCTTTCACCCGTCCATTCTCCCGTTTCACCCCGCCACTCACCTCCCGCCCTCCTTATTTCCGCCTTGCGTCCGGCTACCGTCGACAAAGCTGTCTAATCGACGATACGCGCAACGTTACTGATGCGTTTGGAAGCGAGGCGACCAATTCGTCCGCGGACGTATGTTACTATTCCGTCCTCAATCCGCAAGCAATAAAGAACGTCAGATTCGGAGGCGTGCAACCGAATGCGGTGGGGCGACTAACTGCAATGTCTGATGTCAGATCTAATTCTGCTAACACGCTACCAAACGCGTTGAAGCGACTAACACCAAGAAACGACCGATAGAGTGGGTCACCTTTACCACAATATTAACTCGCTGCCAAAGCAAGAAGATGGCCTTACGCTCCACGTTGACTACCGCGCTAAGATCTGGTAAACGAGAAACAAGTATCAAGAAACAGCTAACATGATGAGCGACAAAACTACCACCGAGTGTAAGTCGAACCTTGCGCTATTACAACTGGAAAATGACGGGTGAGAGAGAGAGGATTAGGTAGGGATGAGCAAAAAAACGAACACCTGGTCGGTTCGCCTCGAACGTGTTTTTTTTGCTTAAAGTGTTCGCCAAACAGTGTTCGAGGTTCGTCCGAACACGTTCGTGTTCGGGCCGCTGCTGCAATTTGCCCCGCGACGAACACGAACGTGTTCGAGGTTCGCCCGAACGCGCCTTCACGGGCGAACGGCGAACACCTGTTTTTTGCTTAAAGTGTTCGTCGAACCGAACAGTGTTCGGTTCGGGAAACGGATGTGTTCGTGTAGGGGCGAACACGAACATGTTCGTGTTTGCCCCTTGCTCATTCCTAGGATTAGGTGTGGCAGGTTCGGCAACTCGAGGTTCGGGTTGTTGATAATGCCGTGGTGGATGTGCCATGGTGGCTAAAACACCATTTCTATTGGCTCACGTGAATCTCATTTCATCCAACCATTGGATTTCCAGCTGCCCGATTCAGCTTTAGCCAGTCAGCTGAACTTTTCCGCGCCACTCACGATTCCCATAACTAAACCAAAGCCGTCCCGCACCTCACGCAAAATTCACACGGGTTCGCTAAAAAAAACTCATGGCCCAACTAAAGAAAGCGCCACGTCAACCACCTCCTAGAAGTTCGAGCCTGCCCTTGCAGTTGTGCATCAGCACGCCGAACAACCTTCCCAGCCAGAAATACGCGTCCTTGGCAAACGCGTTTGCATACGAGCAAGGCCAACAAATGTGCATTTTAACCAATTTGCATTTTCTAACCAATCTGTGTAAAAGCAGTGTACAGTTTGGGCTGGCCTGGATGGATAAGGGGGCCCGCTTCAAAATGTTCTCCACGCGCCGCTCGACAAATGTCCCCTGCCACAATCTCAGCGCGCCATTTGATTGGCCGATGGCACAAGCCACCACACCTCCTCACCGCTGTGGTCTGTTGCACCACCACCATCCATCCATTCACATCACACTGTACTTCTCGCACCGCGTACCCAGCCCAGTGTCAGTATTTCCCTCGCTACCAGCCATAGCACATGACCAGTAATTCCCCCGCTACCGCGTAACACCGCACTGCACCCAGGTAATTGCTGTACCGCACACTTGATTCATTGATCCATCACATTTGGGTTGACGCCGCGCTAGCCGCCAGTCAGAAAGGCTGGAACTGAATTCAATCATCCCTGATCAGTAGCATGCCTTTCCTTCAGTTTCAGCAGCTACCTTCTGCTACCTGCTCTATGGACCATCTCATCCGGTCTAGCGACGTTGCGTTTGTGACGTCCATTTTCTTCATTCTCAAACTCGATGAAGGATTTTCAGTCCAATCCTATGAGCTACATCATAGACTTCAGGCTATAGCTCTACCTGAGCAACCTAAGCGACTTGAAGTCGCCCGGACAGTACACGGTGAAACCCATGGCAGGCTGCGGCGTTGAGTTAGGGGTTGGGGTGGGTGGGTAGTCTGTGAGGAGTGAGCCAAAGCGTGCCTTGGGTGTAACCGTGTACTGCGCCGAATCTCGCGGCAACCTTTTCACCGCGATATCATCTTTATGCTCTTTAAGAGCTTCGGGAGTTTCAATGTATCATCTTTACGCTCTTCAAGAGCTTCGGGAGCTTCAATATATCATCGTTACGCTCTTCAAGAGTTTCACGATCTTCAAGAGCTTCGGGATCTTCAATGTTTCCGATGGCAACCTTTCACCGCAACTGATACATGATCTCATCTGCAAGATCTGCATGGCGAGTCTATTTCGAAGGATCTTCACGCCAAGAAACTTCCACGGCGAGAAAATCACGGCGCGATCTCCGCTCCAAGATCGTCGCGGCAAAGAAAGGCTCAACTTGAAGGAGTCCCATGGCGTCTCCCCTGCTGGCTTAAGGTGCTGCTACCGACCGACTTAGAGACGGTTAAGGTGTTACTACCGGCCTCCTCCTCAGCAGCACAAAGACGACCGACTTAAACAGAGGAGGTAAGCTCAGCTTTTTTCAATTTCTACCTACACCCTCTTTTGGCCGGTTGAGCTTTATGATTTGTTGTCGGTTTTCCTAGTAAGATTGTAACTCTTTTCCTTATTCTCTTGCAGACAATGACAACTTCTCATGCAACCGAAACCTGAAGTGGCCCGGACAGTACACGATGAAACCCATGGCAGGCTGCGGCGTTGAGTTAGGGGTGGGGTGGGTTGGGTAGTCCGTGAGGAGTGAGCCAAAGCGTGCCTTGGGTCTAATCGTGTACTGCGCCGAATATCGCGGCAACCTTTTCACCGCGAGATCATCTTTACGCTCTTCTAGAGCTTCACTCTCTTCAAGAGCTTCGGAAGCTTCAATGTTTCCGATGGCAACCTTTCACCGCAACTGATACATGATCTCCTCTGCAAAATCTACATGGCGAGTCTTTTTCGGAGGATCTTCACGCCAAGGAACTTCCACGGCGAGAAAATCACGGTGGAGGTAAGCTCAACGTTTTTCAACTTCTACCGACAGCCTCTTTTGGCCGGTTGAGCTTTAAGATTCGTTGGCGGTTTTCCTAGTAAGATTCTAACTCTTTCCTTATTTTCTTGCAGACAATGACAACTTTTCATGCAAATCGCTGAGGACACAATTCCTCACCAACGCTTCGCTGAGGACACAACCCCAACTGAAGTCAAGTTCGCGGAGGCCGGAGGAATTGAAGCACAAGTCAAGATCTTTCTGTCATTGGCGCCAAGAGAAGTCTTTGCCGCCAACACGAAGACGACCCTTGGCAAGTGCAGCTTGCAATAACTTTCTGCCATAATTTTTTTATTTTTGTTTTTTACATTTGTCAGGAAGTTCTTGTTTTTCTTTTAGGTTTCGTGTACTAAACTGTTGCCTTCTTCCTGCAGACCTCTTGACAACTCGAAAGCGACGATTGAAAGCGCCGACTTGAGAGCAATTCAAAATCGCCGACGCAGCCAATAATCTACGGCGTGTTTCTCGCACCGGGGTCTCCGCTCAAAGCTCTTCAAAAGCTGCAAGGCGCTGCTGGTAGGCCTATCCCGGGAAGGAGACGGTCGAGTGGAGGTAAGTAATGTTCCATTTCTCCTACAACCGTTTTTGGCTCGTGTTCAACTTGTTTCGTAAAAACTGTTTGACATGTTTCTAACTCGTTTTTGTTTTCCTGCAGAGTACCTAAGACTGGAGTGCTTCTACCCGGCATACAGTGCCGATTGGCCCAGCCCCAAGTCAAGCTCGCTCATTTGGCTCTCACCTGACAGTCGCGAACCTGAAGGCCGGGTCAAGTCCTTGTTGAGGTAAGTGAATCCTTGACTTGTCTAAGTAATACCTCTGATTTAAGCTATAAGTGACACCTCCAAGGTTTCCTTCTCACTTGTCTACGTACTAATCTGTTGCCTTGTCTTTTCAGACCTCTTGGCGACGACGACGATTGCCGACACAGCGACGATCACGGCTGCATTTCGGATTGTCGTGCGCCGTCAAGATGCGTCGAGATGGTAAGTGAAGCCCTTTTCGTAATTAACGTTTAGTCCTAACTTTTTGGCAACATATTCTCTAGTACTAACGTGCTCTCCCTGCATACTGCGCTTCATCGCCGTTGACGGATTAAACTACGGGACCTGAAAGTCGCAGACCTGAACGCCGTGCATCACTGGTCAAGATCCGCTCGCCAACAGAACGTCTGTTGTCTTGAACGTGCGCAGCCTTTAGTCTAGACTATGAAGACTATTTAGAGTCTTAGTAGTATGCATAGTAACCTCTGGCTTCAACTGTGTGAAGGAATTTGATGGAAAACGCCAAGGCAGAAAGTTGAAGTAATTTCATTGAAGAAGGCAATACAAAAACAGAAAACACAAAGCAAGTTATAAGCAAAAGGATTTCTGATTTCGCCCTCGCGCCGCGCCTAATTTCGAGCTGAGTTGTACTCGGCTCAATTTCCAAATCCAACCATGCACCGAACGCGCCTCGAGTTCGAAATTCAGACTTCCTTGGACGCGCCTTTGACCCGGCGTGACTTCTCTTCACGTCACTTGAAAGCACGACATTTCAGCCATGTTCTTCTCCATTTCAGCACGCTTCCTCTCCTTCTCTTCGTTTCCCACTGCAGGTCGCGCTGCTACCGTGTTTCTCCTTCCACCGTCCCAACATAGGTAGTCTCTCTTCTTCTTAGGTCCTCGCTTCCCCATAGTCTCAGCTCGTCAAAGTAGGTTTTTCTTAGGTCGATGTAGGTCACTCCAGGTTGTGCTAGGTCGTGGTTAGCTAACCACCGTCAACAATCTCCCCTGTGGTTTGCTAACCAGCTTACGCACGTTTCACCTTGAACCAGCTCTATGCCTGCTCCACACTCCCTTGCAATTCAGCCAAGGTACGTATCCCAACCTCTCTCTTGCAACGCTCAAAATTAGCCCTTGGTAACACCTTAGTCAGAAAATCTGCTGCTTGTGCCTCCGTACGTACGAATTCAAACTTGAACTCCTTGCTACTCACCTTTGAACGCACCCAATGACACTTCACATCCATATGCTTGGTCCTCCCGTGCCAATTGTCGTTGTGAGCCAAGTCAATGGCAGATTTGCTATCCGTGCGTATCACCGTCGGCCCTTCCACCTTGATGTCCATCTCCTTGAGTAGCCTTCTCAGCCAAACCCCCTCTTGGCACGCGAAAAACAGAGCCATGTACTCCGCTTCCGCACTAGAGAGCGCTATGTCAGCCAACCTTTTCGCTTGCCACATGATTGCTGTCCCGCCGAGCAAAAATACGTAACCATATGCTCCCTTCCTTGTTTTCTTATCGGATGCATGTGAAGCATCCGCATACCCCACTAACTCCAGAGTTTCCTCACCTCCTTCAAATGACAGCCCCTCATCTTCATGTTGCAGTAGGTAGTCGATAGTCCTCCTCATCTCTCTCCATTTTCTCTCCCCTTGCTGCTGCACTTGTTGCCCAAGATAGCTAGCTGCGTATGCCATGTCGACGCGCGTGCATGAGACCGGATACGTGATAGACCCCACCATGGACTGATATACTTGCAGAGCTCTCTCTTTGCAGCCCCATTGGTTGACATCCTCCTCCCTTTCACTGTCGCTTTCAGCTACCCCACTCAATGGTGTCGAAATTGCCTTCGTGTAGCCATTGCCAAACCTCTGCTGCACCCTGCTGCAATATTTCTGCTGGTATAGGAACATCTTCCTCTCCTCCTTACGTCGCTCCAGGTTCATGCCGAGAAAGAGTGTGGTCCTCGGAATCTGCTTCACTTGAAAAACTTCCGCAAGATGAGCACACACCTTCTCTACCTCCTCCTCTAACGCCCCTGCCACCAAGATGTCGTCCACGTATAGCACCAAGAACACCTTCTCTTTCCCTTCTCCCTTCCAGTAGAATGCCCTATCACACTCGCTTTTCTGAAATCCCCCTTGCAGTAGCCGCTCATCCATCGCCATATACCACTCCCTAGGACTCTGTTTCAGCCCATATAATGCCTTGTTGAGCTTGCATTTTCTGCCCGAGCCGTCGTCATGCCCTGGTGGTTGCTCGAGGTAGATGTCCTCCTTCAACACCCCATACAAAAACGCGTTTTTAATATCCAGCTGCACCATGAAGTATTTTCTTGCTGCTACCACCTTGAGAAAAACCCGCGCCGTTGCCAACTTGCTCACTGGAGCGTAGATCTCATTTTGTTGGTAGTCTTTCCCCTCCACTTGAGTGTAGCCCTTGGCTACAAGCCTTGCTTTGAACCTTTCCAGCTGCCCCATATCACCGGTCTTGATTTTGAAAATCCACTTCACTCCCACGGCTTTCCTCCCTTCCGGCATAGGTACTAGCTCCCATGTGCCCCTTTCAGCCAATGTGTTCAACTCCTCCTCAATTGCCGCTTTCCACTGCTCCCTTTCTGGACCCTCTAGCGCCTCCTCGATGCTCACTGGTTCTTTGGGCAGGTTGTGTGTCACTTTTCCTTCATTGGAGACTAGGTCAGTAGCTGTGGCAGAGAGTAGGAGGTGGGTGTGGATGTCCTTCCAACACGTCATCAGCAGTTGCGCATACCGAGGGTTTGGTTTCTTCACCCTCTTTCCTTTCCCCAACTCCTCTGCAGGTGATTCAGCCTCATCCTCACTGGAATCCGCCAGTGTTTTCCCTTCTCCATTCTTCACTTCCCTTCCAATCACGATGGCGCCCTCCTCAAGTAATTCCTCTATCTCCCTCATCTTGACATTGCTGTCATCACTGTTTAAAAGCTTCCATGGATCACTATCTCCTTCAGCTGCTGATTCTTCATCTCCTTCTTCTCCAACCACCTCTTCATTGCCACCCTCGGCTACTTCATTGCTTGGCTGCTCCCCTGCTATCTCCACTCCATTGGTTTCATCCGCTTCACTGGTTGGTGCCTTCTCCCACACCCAATCAACTGAATCTGCCCGTTCCACATCTTCGAGTTCCTCATCTCCTTCATACCCAACTCCCTCACTCTCCTTTTCCTCCAAAAGATCCTCCACCTTGTCCGGTGCAGTTGCTGTCCATGCTGCTGCAATCTCTTTCTCTACTCCCTTCCACTGCAGGTAGTTCACCTCCTCGTAGAAGACAACATCCCGGGTGATCGTGACTTTTCCTGAAATTACATCCTTGATCACCCACCCCTTGCTCACTGGGCAGGTACCGAGGTTAATCCCCCAATGAGCCTTGGGCAGCAACTTATGATCCGGACCGGCTGGCTCTCTGTATTGCACCATACTCCCCCACACCCGGGCAAACCCCAGATTCGGCTTCCTGCCATAGAAGGCCTCGTGGGGAGTCATATCTGCCCGAAGTCCCTTGGTAGGTAGGCGGTTCTTGGACCAGCACGCCATTGCCAATGCATCACCCCAGAACTTCAGTGGCAGCCCACTATCTGCCAACATGCTCCTCACACTATCCAGTAGAGAACGGTTCACCCGCTCCGCTATGCTATTATGCTGTGGAGTGTAGGGTACAGTCAGCTGCCGTCGGATGCCCTTACTCTGTAAAAACTTGTTGAACAGGTCCCCTGTAAACTCCCCACCATTATCTGTCCTCAAAACTTTCAACACCTTCCCACTTTGCCGCTCCGCTTCCGCCATCCAAGTCACGAAGCTAGGAAACTGTTATAGGCACAATAGGCTTGAATGTGCCTAAAAAGAAAGATAGAGAGCACAGACGGATTTCTGCACAGCGGCTTCAAACGTTGATAGCGTTCTGCTCACAGCTGCAAATGACCTGATTCAAATTGGATCTGGAGCGTCTTCACGTCGTCTACAATTAGCAATTTAGATTGCACGATTTGATAAAAAATTGACGACACAGCATCGGTTTGAATGAACAGTACTATGGCAGCCACTATAGTCTTAGAACACAAGATAGGAAGAGTTACGAGTTGGGAATGACTCCCAGCTCCTACAAACCCCAAGAGCCGAGGTACAGTGATGTGGAACAGTGCCACACTGTCCCCAACCACGAAGGGTCTCGAAACTACCCTTCACTAGGGCCTACACCAAGTGAAATGTTACACTACACAAAGTAATGTAAATATCTTCAATATCTTGAGGTGTACCCTTTTTGGCGAGCTTCGAAATCACTTGAGGCTTGACACCAAGGCTCGGGCTCTTCATCACAAACTCATCCTTGAGTTCTTGATGGGTCTGCTGCACACACCTGCGACACGCCGAACGTTCGACACAGGACAAAATAGAAACCGCGCACGACAAAATAGAAACCGCGTGCGAGACACAAACGACCGCGTAACACGCGTCTAGCGATAACTCGCTATTGACTCGACACACACACTCGACATCATGACTCAACATTCACACACAATTATAAGCATGAAATATATATTATCCCATGCCCTCATACCATTCCATACACACACACATGCACGCACACGGACAACAAGCCGAGTGGAAACCGTAGGGTTGCACCAACAAACTCCCCCTCGGATTGTTGGCCTTAGGATATGTTGCTCTCTCACTTCAGAGCCATCCCAGCCAGCTTGCAACACTTCCAATGCTGCTGCTCCACCAGCCTCTTGGTCATCATGTCAGCCGGCTGCCCCGTGGTCTTCACGTAGCGCAACTCAACTTCACCCGCGGTTACCATGCTCCTCGTCCAATGCCACTTCACCCTCATGTGCTTCGTGAGTCCATGCAACACAGGGTTCTTAGCAAGAGCAATGGCACCCTGGCTGTCACAGTACAGTGGGGTAGGTCCTTGCTGCTCCTCCTCCAATTCAGCCAACAAACGCCGCTGCCACACAATCTCCCGTACGGCACGGAAGAGTGCCATGTACTCGGACTCCACCGAGCTCAAAGCTTGGTCAACCTGCTTCTTGCTCTCCCAAGCAGTTGGGCCTCCACCAACACAGCATATGAAGCCTCCCACACTTGTCATGTCCTCTGGTTCTGATGCATATGAAGCATCCGAGTAGGCGGTGAGGAACAAATGCCCGGGTTCAACACCATCCGCGCCCTTTTGGCGCCTTTGTGCCGC